GTCATAGGTTAGTTCCCCGACACTGCACGAAACAAATGAAACTTCACACAGAAATTTGTATTTTATTCTTCTCCTGAGAAACTGGAAAGACTGCCACCACTTAGTTCACATTCCTGAGTGTTAGGAATGCGCTGATACTGAGTAAGAGCAGGACTGCACGGGCCAGTGCAAGTGCAGAAGGCCCTCACTAAGAAGGGCCCCGTGCTGGGGTTTAATGCTTTGTGATCACCACCTTGAAATACTTAATAATTTTATCTTTGAATTTGGGTTTTATATTTGAAGTCCTATGGGACAGTTAGGCATCTACCGAGTTTCAGTTCATGCATGGTCTCACATTCTGTTGCCCCCCACTGGGGTGGGCTTAATAGTTTTCATGGTTTCCTTGGCCCTGTCTGGCTTCCTTTTCATCCCCACAGAGTGACTGCTGCCACTTTCTGTCTCTGAGCAGGAGCTTACACACCGACAAGGGAAGCTTGGGCTCAAGCAAGCATTGCCCCCAGCATCCCAGGCACAGTGAGGGGAGAGCCCTCCCTGCTCTGACTGGCACTGCTCTGTGTGTCTAGTGGGTGATGTGGTAGAGGAAGGGCCTTCCCACCACCCCTAGGCGAAGGACCAAACCCATCCCTGTTTTGAGCTGTAATCCAGAGGTTGCCAAATTGCTGTGGGTTGAAATGATAGCCCTATGGGAAGGGTAGACGCCGGACTCAACATCTACATCTGCAGTCAGCCCACAGGGTCTGAGTTATGCTGCTGCCAGAGAGGAAATGGAGAAGCTGGCGGCCACTAGTATACCAGATTGGAGGCTCAGGCCCCTGGTGAAGGGTGTACTTGTCAGCCAGGATCCTTGCACCCAAGGGAAAGGGACATTAAATAGCGGATAAAAACCCACTTCAGTTTGACAGACCAGAGAAGAAGGAAAACATTTTATATTTTATTTTTATATTTTTCTTTTTCAACAGGAGCCCTCACATTTTCATTTTGCTCTCTGCTATATAGCTAGCTCTGGTTAGGCTTGCTCTAAGTAAGGAGCACACACTCATTTTTCAGCTTATTTCTCAACCACTTTAAGACTTTGTATTTATAATCCTGTTGTATGGTTGACTAGAAAGTTAATGAAACGCAGCGGTACTGTCATCTAAGAGACATGTCCTACATGGGTTCTCATTTTTTTCAGTGTCTTCAACATTTCCTTAATGAATAAATTCACAAGTTTAATTTCTCATAAAATCCTCAATTTAGCTGAAAATACAATGTCACAATTTTGTTTGGTGAGAGGAACTTAATTGTTAAGAGGAGCCTGATTTTTTACCTAGTTTTGGTTAGTTTTACTAATGGAGAAGGGAGAGCTACGCCTGAATGAATAACCTCACAACCATGTAAGGACGCAGTAGTGATTCCGGAATGTCTTCAGCTAAGCTACTCCCCATCTTTGTGCCTCAAGCATCCACCAGTTGTGGGGGTGGGTCCTGTTGATCCCTTTTGGCTTCTATTGTGGAAAGCTTTGAATGAAGATGATTGCGAATCATTTAATACTATAAAAATTAGAGTATGGGGGGCCAGGGAGATAGCTCAGTAGAATAAGTGCTTGCCTGGCAAGCGCAGGGTCCTAAGTTCAATCCCTGGTACCGCAAAAAAAAAAAAAAAAAAAAAAAAAAGTGGACTGGGAGTGGTGGGACATGTGTAATCCCAGCACGCAAGAGGCTGAGGCGGGAGTAATGCCTTGAGTTCGAGGCCAGCCTGAACTGCATAGTGAAACCCTGTCTCAAAAATATGTACATAGACTATATAATACCCCTAAAATTTTGTTAGATGCTTTGCCTGGTGGAAAGTGCTGGCAGTCAAATCCAGGGGCTCCCACATGCTGGCCTCACCCTCCACCACGGAGCTATGCGCTCAGCACTGATACTACCTTTCTGGGTTTTTTTTTTTCCAATTCACAGTTTTATTAATATGTGTTTGTAGTATATAATGATTATATTCATTGTGGAAAGTTGGTACTTATACATAATACATTTTAATTCTTTTTATGTCCCCTTCCCCCCTCCCATCGCCGTGGTTTTCTTTTTCTTTTTTCTTTTTTTTAAGAGCTTAATATCTAACTGATCACAATGGCTACATTTTTATTTCAGAAAGTAAATGATTGGTCATTTTATTAATTATCTAAGAGCAATATGATAATTAAAGTTACATGTTTGCCTTTATACAGGAGAGATCATACTAATTTCTGAATGTCTTGGTTTAAGTAAATTTAGACTGTCTTTTAAAGTATAATACTATACTTACACAACGTTCTTCCATGCTAAAATTTTATAGGAAGTTGCAAACCAGTAATTAGGTAGCAAAGATTATATGCTAAGGAAATGATTATATGTGTGGTGAATTCTAAAAATAGTATCTTTTCTAAATAATATTCATCTCCCTTTTCAAAGCACCCTTGATGATTGATCAGAGAATATTTTGAGCTAGCTAAGTTTTTACTGTCAGTAATATTATCTTCGGCCATATAATTTATGCAGTACTGGATTCCTGTTTGTGACTCTGGTTTAAGATCCTGCCTCTAGATGAGAAATTATTTTCAACCATCTCCCTTGCACTAGATTATAGTGTCTTCCCAGGTATCATTTGTGTTTAACAATAGATTTCCTTATTTTTAGTAGCCATTCTCAGTGCAGCTCTGTGATTTTTCAATCTTGGCTTTCCTGTTTTGCTAAGCAGTACAAAACAATGCTAAGATAATCTACTTGGTGTTAGAATATTCCTTGTACCCCAAGACCAAGCTCAGTTTTTATTTTTATTCACCACTTTCATGGAATAATGTCAGCTGTGGTGTTACCTTCCTCAGGGTGATCATGGATATAAACAGTCAAAAGACACTGAAGAAAGGCTCAAAGTTATCCCAAAATTTTGTTTTCCTGATTCTGAGGACTGGGTACCAACCTCAAAACTCAAGAGGTAAATGAGCTACTTTATCTTATTTCTATTTGTTGGAACTGCAAAAATACAATCAGAGCATCTGAGAAATGGGTCGAACCAGAAGGAAGCTACATGGACACTGGCAGATCAAGGATGCAGTGGAAGGAAAGGAAGAAGCAGAATTAGGACATTTCCTATGTGGGGCTCAAAAAAGAAAAATACAGACTAAATTTAGTGTCAAAGAAAACAAGTATAGAGTCTACAGTTTTCCAGTGCTGTTAAAAAAAGAAAAAAAAGTTCCACTTTACATAAATTCTTCTTCAAGTTGATAGAAAAAGCTATGATCCACATTGTGTTTCCCTGTGGAGCTTTTACAGAAGGAGAGTGTTCAGTTTGGGAGGTGTGACTATATTGAGAAGGGAAGAATTAAAGAGTTACACTTATAGGGCCAGCCACAGAGCTCAGGGAACTAAAGTATCTGCTTAGGCAGAGCACAGCGACTGGGGCTCCCTCCCCAGCATGCTGTGCCAGCCCGCTCCCAGGGCACACTGAGATGGTGATTGAGACTGGGCATGGTGGCCCGCGCCTGTAATCCCAGTGCTTGGGAGGCTGAAAACAGGAGGATCACTGTGAGTCCAATTATGTAGTGAGATCCTGTAGATCCTGTATTAAAATACCTTAAAAAAAAAAAAAAGATTCAAAGTTCTGCTTGTAGTACCAGCAAGTCTAGAGTCTGAGGTGGGAGAATCTCCTGAGCTTGTGAGTTTAGGATCTCCCTGAGCAACAACTTGGCAACCCTGTCTCGAACAAAACAGAACAAATAAAACTCACCTGTATTTATTAACAGTGTCTTTTAAGCAGAAGAGCTTGATTAAGTGAGCTCTGTCTCATGCTGATGACTTGCTGGGTGATAGTGTCAGCCGTTGCCTGAGAAGCTCGGCCCAGCCTCCTCACTTAGCTGCCATCTCTCGTGGCCTGCGTAGCCCGATCACCTCTCCATCCCTCAGCCACCAGCATTCGTTTCTTGTGTTGTCAGTTCCACTGCTAGCCACATAAGCAGCTTCTTTTATGTTGGCCTGGCTGCTCCGTGGTACTTTTCTCCCTGGGTTGTATGTGCTTAGTCTAGAAATAGATGAGTAAATAAAAAGCAGAAGCTAGAAATCACTGGTAATTTTGTTACTTAGAGATAACCTATGGAAATATTTTGGCATGTTTCCTTCTGATCTTTATTTTTGGATATATATATATATATATATATATATATATATTTCATCATTCGAATTTATGTTTCTGTGATAATTAGTTTTTTCCCTAGGCATCTTTGGATCATCTTTTTGGAAATTATCTTTGCATACCTTTGCCCATGTTTCAAATGAAGAATTTTACTATTAATTTAGGGTGGGGTTTTTTTGTTCTTTTTTTGTTTGCTTGTCTGTTTTTGAGACAAGGTCTCACTATGTATTCTAGGCTGGCTTTGAACAATCCTCCTGTCTCCTGCCTCAGCTTCCTGAGTGCTGGCAGTTGGCATATGCCATCATGCTTGGCTTCCTATCAATTTTTATATATGAAGGATATTAATTATTCCCTATCACTATTGCCTAGGGTCTTAGAAAAATGTGGAAGGGAGCAATGTCTTATCAAAGTTCTTTATAGCTTAGCCACATGTCTGACTAAATCAGATATGCAACAAAAGGAAAATAGAATTAGTATCTAGAGTGGAAAAGTAAAAGAGGGCAATAGTTTATCCTATACCATTTTTCTCACTTGGTGTAGAACAAGATGTCTTAAGATCTGGACATTCCTTAGGGGGAATATGACTTTTTTGATAACTGTCATATTCTTGTCTCCCATTTGATCATAAAATGACTGGTATTGGATCCTATTTTCAGTTGTTCATTCCATGAGGAATGCTGTGTGTGGTTATTTGGATCTCAGAATCACAATTGATTATTTTTTCAGTGAAACCTTCTCCTTTGTTTTGACTGGTGAAGATGGAAGCCGGTGGTTTGGTTACTGTAAGAAGCTTTTGGTAAGTACCAGACTTGGGCTACAGACTGAGGTGGTGAAGAGACAATAAAGTCAAACTGGGAAGTTCAGAGTCACTATTTCTAGATAAGTTTGAGGATTTTCAGTGATTCATATTTTAAAGAAAATGTGTTAGCTTTATATAGCAAAAGAAAAGTGAAGGTAGGTCATGGCATGCTCCAAAGTGAAAGTAGGGATTTATTTTATTTGTTTGCAGTAGAGCCGTAATGGCTGAATATCAGTGTGGATATATCGGAAGAATGGAGTACAGTGAGCCAATCAAGGGAGTGCTGAGTCACCGACTGGTTTAGGGCTTTCATCCTATTTAGATGCCACCTGGAGTAAATCATGCTATCACGTTTAGTACTTTTTTCACCTTGCAGTGCTCACTGAAGACAAGGCCTTACATCCTGCTCTGTACTAAGGAAGTCGGGCACACTGGATGCTCTTGTGGTCCCGGTTACTCAGGATGCTGAGGCAGGAGCATTGGTAGAGCCCAGAAGTTCCTGATGAGCCATGGTGACGGGGATCTCAGAGAGAGAGGAAGTGGGGTAGGGGGAGAGAGGGGGGGAGAATATTAAAAGATATTAATAGTTCATATTACTGAGACTTGTGCTTTATGATTGTTGTTTCCTTACAGCCAGAAGGCAAAGGAAAGCGACTCCCTGAGGTATACTGCATGGTTAGTCGCCTGGGCTGCTTCAATCTATTTTCAAAGGTGAGTGAAGAATTTGAGTGAAAAATGAGGTCTATGGAGGTGATGTTTTTTCTGAGCTGAGAGAAAATTTGTGTTGCTTATGATGTCTCTGGAGAGTAGACTTTAATACATTACTTTAGAAAGGTTTCCTGTTGGTGGATTAGAACCACAAGCTTAAAGGCTAAACTCAGCTCTCCCATCCAGCTGCCATTGCTGCTTCGTTCTCATTCTGGTTTTCTAAAACTCCCAGTATTGTTTTGTTTCTCTTTGAGACAGAATTTCACTATGTAGTTCAGGCTGGCCTTGAACTTACTTTGTAGACCAGGCTGATCTCGAACTCAGTGATCCTCCTGCCGCAGCCTCTCGAGTGTATTGCAGGTGTGCACCACCACGCCCAGCTAAAACTGCCAGCTCTAAGAGAACACAAACCAAAGCTTGTCTCACGTGTTCCCTAAATTCCCAAATTGCATAGATAGATGATATTGTCAGTGTCAGGTTTTTTTCTTTTTTGAGACTGGGTTTGCTGTGCAGTTCAGGCTAGCTGTGAACTCTGTTGCCCAGGCTGGCCTCAAACCCCCACGTATCAGTGTCTTTCTCTTTGCTCCTGTAGTGAAAGAGAAGAGGACTCCTAAAAAACAAATTGATTTATGTTAGTAACTTTCTTGGGGGGATGTAAAGATATCCCACAGAGATATGATGTTCTAATGAACTTTTATTGGTTGTAGAAACTTACCTGTTTATTTTTTTATTTTTTGGTGTTAAGACAGGCTGGCCTCAAACTCCCAGGTGCTAGGAGTCGACATATACCTCCATGCCTGGCTGATTTTTATGTTTTTGAATTGAGTCCATAATAAAATAACATTTTGTCTGTGTAGATTCTGGATGAAGTAGAGAAGAGAAGAGAAATGTCTCCAGCCCTTGTTTACCCGTTCATGCGAAGTGTCATGGAAGCTCCTTTCCCGGCTCCTGGACGTACCATCACAGTCAAGAGCTACCTCCCTGGGGCTGGAGATGGGGTAACTGAACTCATTTCAAAAAGATTTGATAGCCATCAAAATGCAGGACTTATACTGTGCGCCAATTTCTAGAAGCTGCAGAGCGTAGTTTCTTTCCCCTTTCTATAAATAAGAATTTTTTTTTTCAGAAAGCACTGAGTAAGCATCTGTAAGAGTTGAACCATGACCCAAGACCAAAAACTTTCTTATCCATACATAGATTAGTCCTCCATACTAAAAATCTCACTGTGGTAATTGATAATTATACAAGCTGTTGACAGAATAAAGGATATTACTAGAAGTACAATACAAAAATTAAGCTGCAGGGTCTTGGGATTAGGGTAGCTCCCACAAGCTCATAGTTTCCCTGCAGCGCACAGGCATTTTACAATAGACCTTCTTTCTCAACTGTAACTTGTAAAAGAGGATGTGCCAGTGTTACCATTCGAGTGTTTCCCAACATCAGCTCCCCTAAATGAAGTTTTTACATTTCAGTCAATTGAACTCTGCCGACCGCTAGATTCACGATTGGAGCATGTGGACTTTGAGTGCCTTTTTAAGTGCTTGAGTGTCTGCCATCTTATCCGCGTCTGTGCCTCTCTCCTTTTGGAGCGGCGGGTAATCTTTGTTGCCAACAGCCTAAGGTAAGAAAGAATTAAGTTCAGTAAGACTGGAGATGTAGCTCCAGTAGAATGCCAGCATGCCCAGGCCCTCTCACCACAAATAATAGTATACAAAAAGGGATGAGTGAAGTAACTGACTTCATACTGGTGTTTCACTTGTTCTTACTATTTTAAAATTCAGATATATTTATAAAAATGTAGAATTAGTCTCTACCTCATGCTGTAGTCATGTGAGTAATTCTAAATGGTAACTGATAATTTTCATTAGGGTATAATGATGACTTTTTTGGATTTAATAGGGTGGGTTTTTTTTGTAAATGTGTTTTTGGTTAACCTGTTGCTAACAATTGGTACTCCTGGCCAGGTGCAGTGGTTGGCACTTGTACTCTCAGCTACTTGGGAGTCTGGCCAGGAGGAGCTCAAGGCCAAGCCAGAGCAACATGAGAACTTTCTTTTTAAAAAATTGCTACTGCTTGGGCTGGCACAAGTTCAGGGGTGCAAGCACCTGCCTAGCAAGTGCAAGATGCTGAGTCTGATTCCCAGTTTAAAAAAAAAAAAAAATTATGGGGCCAAGGAGATGGCCCAGTAAAAGGGCCTGAGTTCAATCCCGGTTCCG